TCTTCCCCGTATCAACACGCTTTTCCAGAAGGATCGAAGCACCCTCAGCTTCGACAAGGGATTCCGACTCCGCGCTGAGTTCAAGCAATACCAGCTGATGAAGAGCAATCCCTTCTGGTGGACCAGCCAGCGGCACGACGGTAAACTCTGGAACCTAAATGCCTACCGCACTGATGTTATCCAAGCATTGGGTGGTGTTGAAACAATTCTCGAGCACACCTTGTTCAAGGCAACAGCTTTCCCATCATGGGAAGGTTTGTTCTGGGAAAAAGCGTGTCTCGCTAAGGGAACCCGTCTGTTGCGATACGATGGGACCGAGATCAACGTCGAGGATGTGCGTGAAGGTGACCAACTTTTGGGTCCCGATGGAGAGCCTCGCCGTGCATTCAACATAGTGAGTGGTATCGACCGCCTGTACCGCGTCAAGATCGGCGGTGAGAAAGAAGATCTGGTAGTCACGCCGAATCACATTCTGGTGTTTTACCGAGAGGGCCCCTCCGATGGTCCTGAAAATGCGGAAAGGCAAACGGTGGAGATTACTGCTGCCGAGTTTGCTACCCTTTCTACCGAGGAACGAAGCCTGTATAGTGCCTTCACATCCCCTGCAGTTGAGAAGGGCGCCGAAGGTTCAGCTGCTCAAATGCATAGTTTCAAGGTCGAGGACATTAGTCTCGAATCTGAGAAGACGGAGTGGGCTGGTTTCCGAGTCGACAAAGATCAGCTTTACCTGCGCCATGACTACCTTGTCCTGCACAACAGTGGTTTCGAAGAAAGCATGAAGTTCAAAAAGCTCACCAACGCTCAGCGGTCCGGTTTGAACCAGATTCCCAACCGTCGATTCACCCTCTGGTGGTCGCCGACCATCAACCGCGCCAACGTCTACGTTGGTTTCCAGGTGCAACTTGATTTGACTGGTATCTTCTTGCACGGCAAGATTCCCACCCTGAAAATTTCGTTGATTCAGATTTTCCGTGCCCATCTGTGGCAGAAGATTCACGAATCGGTGGTTATGGATTTGTGTCAAGTCCTGGATCAGGAATTGGAGCAGCTTGGCATCGAGGCCGTTCAAAAGGAGACTATTCACCCACGTAAATCTTACAAGATGAACAGCTCTTGTGCGGATATCCTGCTCTTCGCGACGAACAAATGGAATGTCACTCGACCTTCCCTTGTATTCGATACTAAGGACGTCTACGAGTCGACCACGACAAACAAGTTCTGGATCGACGTGCAGCTTCGATATGGTGACTACGATTCTCACGATATTGAGAGGTACGTTCGTGCTAAGTACCTCGACTATACCACGGACAGCATGAGTATCTATCCTTCCGCCACTGGGTTGATGATTGGCGTTGATCTTGCATACAACCTCTTCTCGGCTTACGGACAGTACTTCCCAGGCCTCAAGACTCTGGTTCAGCAGGCTATGGCTAAGATCATGAAAGCTAACCCAGCTTTGTATGTCTTACGTGAGCGTATCCGCAAGGGTCTCCAGCTGTATGCCTCGGAGAGCAGCCAGGAGTTCCTCAATTCTCAGAACTACTCCGAGCTCTTCAGCCCGCAGATTCAGCTCTTTATCGATGACACTAACGTCTACCGCGTCACGATCCACAAGACATTCGAGGGTAACTTGACCACAAAGCCCATTAATGGTGCAATCTTCATCTTCAACCCCCGAACTGGACAATTGTTCTTGAAGATCATCCACACCAGTGTCTGGGCAGGTCAAAAGCGTCTGGGTCAGTTGGCTAAGTGGAAGACAGCCGAAGAAGTTGCAGCTCTCATTCGGTCTCTCCCCGTGGAAGAGCAACCGAAACAACTTATTGTCACCCGTAAGGGTCTTCTTGATCCTCTCGAGGTTCACCTACTCGATTTCCCCAACATCTCCATTCGTGCCTCTGAGCTTCAGCTGCCCTTCCAGGCCGCCATGAAGGTCGAGAAACTGGCCGATATGATTCTCCGTGCGACCGAACCTCAGATGGTACTCTTCAACTTGTATGATGAGTGGCTCAAGTCTATCTCCCCGTACACGGCCTTCTCTCGACTCATTCTCATTCTTCGGGCTCTTCACGTCAATATTGACAAAGCCAAGATCATTCTTCGACCCGATAAGACCGTTATCACTCAAGAACACCACATCTGGCCATCCCTGTCTGATGAGGACTGGATCAAGGTTGAAGTGCAATTGCGTGATCTGATCTTGAACGACTATGGCAAGAAGAACAACGTCAACGTGCAGAGCTTGACCAGTAGCGAAGTTCGTGATATCATCCTGGGTATGGAGATCAGTGCACCTTCTCTGCAGCGGCAGCAGGCGGCGGAGATCGAGAAGCAGCAGGAAGAGCAGAAGCAGCTCACTGCTGTGACGACCAAGACTCAGAACGCTCGTGGTGAGGACATCATCGTCACCACTACCTCTCAGTACGAACAGCAATCATTTGCGTCTAAGACAGAGTGGCGTACTCGTGCAATCGCGACCTCTAATCTCCGGACGAGGTCCAACAACATCTATGTCTCCTCCGACGATATCCGGGACGAAGGCTACACCTACATCATGCCCAAGAACGTCCTCAAGCGATTCATCACCATCGCTGATCTCCGAGTGCAGGTCACGGGTTACATCTACGGTAGCTCTCCCCCAGATAATGATCAGGTCAAGGAGGTCCGCACCATTGTCATGATTCCCCAAGTGGGTAACACCCGAGACGTCCAGCTGCCACACCAATTGCCGCAGCACGACTACCTCCAAAATTTGGAGCCCCTCGGTATCATCCATACGGTTTCTGGCAATGAGCCGCCGTACATGTCCGCGGCAGATGTCACCCATCACGCACGCCTCATGAACGCCCATCCTTCGTGGGATAAGAAGACCGTGACGATGACCGTCTCTTTCACTCCTGGATCCGTTTCGCTTGCCGCCTGGGGTCTTACTCCGGCAGGCTACAAGTGGGGCGCAGAGAACAAGGACACAACCTCGGATCAACCCCAAGGCTTCTCCACCAACATGGGTGAGAAGTGTCAGCTTCTCCTCAGTGACAAGATCCGCGGCTATTTCCTTGTGCCCGAAGATAACGTGTGGAACTATAGCTTTATGGGCAGCTCCTTTGGTAGCGTAGAGAAGAGACCTATTTACGTCAAGATTGACACCCCACTCAAGTTCTACGATGACCAACACCGTCCCCTGCACTTCCAAAACTTCGCCGAGCTCGAAGACATCTGGGTTGACCGGTCTGACAACTTTGCCTAAACCTGTGCAGCTGATCAGGCGCAAAAAACTCTTTTCTTTTTCCCAGCGTTGTCTTTTTTTTTACTCTTGTTTTCTTTTTCTCATTTGGGTTCTTGTATCACGACAACCATAATTCATGTATTGCAGCGAGAACCTAGGAAAAGGCCAATGTGGATTTTTTGTACAGTACGAGTTTCTTTCGAATACAATTTCTGTTCCCTTCAACTTTTCTCTTTCTCTAATGAGTCAATCGGTTCCCTGTAAGTATACGAGGATGCGGTTGGCTTCGGAATGTACTAGTTTGCCCACCTTCCCTAAGATTGCCGCGATGTGATGGCCTAAGCAGGCGCCCAACAGAAGTATAGAAATCAGCCAAAGGTCCGGAAAAGAAAAAAAAAATTACACGTAAGACATAAAGACATACATACGTATAACCTGCACAACATTGAACTATTGAAATCGAGGTCTGCCTAAGCTCTCCGCTTTGATGCATCAGCCCTTTTGTATTGACAGATGACGGCCCGCATGCAGCTAGCACATTTCGGTAGTCCTTCCGAATTACATCTCCTGATCTACCCTTTGACAAATCTATGAGAGAGAGGGGGGGAGAGAGATTGTATGAGAATGTGGCTGAAAAGTTGATGTGACCCAACTTAATCATCTCCAATGATCTCTTTCATTGTTATAATGTCCTTCTTTCAATTTTATAGAACTCCGTCAAGTCCAAACGCCAATCGTATTTTCGGGTATATATTTCACCCCCCTGTTCTCTTGTTGTGTTCTATTGGATATATGTGATTAACTCCAGGGCTTAGCTCCGAAGAAACCCGGTGCAATAGAATGGTGCAATGGGGTATTTTGACATTAGACTAGCCTATACCGTACCAATCAGCCGATACGATATGTCCTCTTTCTAGCAAGACGGCGCAGTTGCATGGAAGATCGGTCCGACGAATGAGCCGTTTGATTTGCTACGTCCCCGAAGTCTGACAGGCTTCACCTGTCTGCCGTATCTTTTTTTGTGCCATGGCTCTTGACTATTGACCCTAGACTTACCCTGGTCCCATTTTTTGCGTTGGGTGTTTTTACCCCCCAATTAATAACCGCTTTGCCAACAATCCCTTTGGGGGGGCTCTACCGCTTTGAAGGTTTTTTTTTTTTTTTTGAACCCCTCCCCTTGGTGTTGGAAGTCTGTGCGAAAGCAAGAGAACAACACTTGTTTCATCGAGGCCGGGAAAATGGGATACAACCTACCTATCGCGAAAAACTTGACTATGATAATTCAGAATCCTCTTGCAGTCCGGTCCACTGGGGACTGATAGAATCAGCCCGGCAACGCACGCTCCAACTTGGTCACCGGCACACGGTTGGATTTCTCTCAGGGGGGCTCTCCAGATGTTGTTATAGATATGTCCATCTCTTCGTTTTTCGTTCGCTCATAATCTAGGGGAAAGTTCTTTGATATCTCACCCTCTTATACATTATGCATGGCCGATTCTTCTGCAAGACCTGCCTGCAAGTTGACCCAAAGTAACCCTATATATCCTCTTCTGCATGTCAACGTGTTGAACAAATTATTTTCTTTGTTGCGATCATATACACAGGCAAATTTCTCTACGCATCGTTCTCCCATGCAACAGCAGAAGCCTGTTTTTTTTGTTTGCCTTGCAACTCGAGAGAGATACCTGGGAGATAAACACGCCCTAGAATCGTTCATCCCCCAACAGCCACCCAAGTCACTTGCCGGGGTTACAGGCCCTGGTGTTGTTTATATATGTCTACAACACCGGGGGACCCTTATCGAGGCTTCATGGTTAACTACGCTCCTCATGGCCGTGGTAAAGATGCGAACCGGGAGGGTATCATTCCCTACAGTTCAGCGCAGTTGCTCCAAGATAGGCCCACTGAAATTCGCTACCACTCTGATACAACCCAGCCACCCTTTGGGTCCTCATCAACTTTTATCGCGAACCGCTCGTCCCAACGCCAGCAGGGGTCGCATTACAACACACACGGCTATAGACTCTCCCCAATCCATGGTAGCAGAAAACGACAACGTACCGACAATCAGCCTGAGGCTAGTGAAGACAATTATGGGTACCGACCTATTTTGCAAAATCTACCCATGGGTGACCCATCGGCTTCAGCAGGGGAATCGACCGACCTGACATACGCTGATCATGTCGGCCCTTCGTCTTCCCACCAGACATCGAACCATGACTACATTCAGGCTGGTCTCCCGCAACAACAACAACAACAACAACAACAACAACATCACCATCATCATCGGCTGCCATCCCAAGCATTGGTGGGCACGACCTCTGCTGATCAGGGCTCTGAACCATACCAGCCGCAAATCGACCTTAGCTTCATGGACCTTCCAGGCGTGCCTACACCATACCCTGAGCCAAAAGCACCAAAGACTAGATTCGGTCACAAGGAAGATGAGATGTTGATAGCCCTAAAGGAGCACTGGAAGTTTTCCTGGAGGCAGATTGAGTACTTCTTTCCGGGGCGAAAACAACAAACATTGCAAGTCCGTTACTGTACCAAATTGAAGGAAAGAGATGTGGTTTGGGATGATACTTTGGTATGTTTATCTCCACACAATTTAAGAAATTGGATCGTGCTAAGTCCTGTAATAGGATCAAAAACTGAAAAGGGCGTTGGAGGAGTATGAGGACAACAAATGGGCACACATTTCCCGGAAGCTTGGGCCTGGTGTACCACCAGCGGCGTGTAAGCTGCGAGCCGAAGAGCTTGAATGATGTTGGAGCGTCTGTTTCTAAGGAGTAGTTTAGAGGAGCTTGTTTACTATACTGTGACTTATGACTTATGATGTGTGGCCTGAGTTAGTTTCAATATATCATGTCACCCCGTGCCCTACACAGAGAAGCCCTAGGTGTTCCAAAATGGAAATTCTGCCGCTCGTAACTGAGGCCGCCCGTACAGCCATGGAGAGCTCCTGCCAATCAGAAAGGCTGAGTCATCATCACTCGCGGCCTTATTGGATGGTCCAAGCAGCCAATCACAGGAGGTCGGACCAAAGCGGCTTCAAACTCGCCCAACCTCAAACCTCCAAACTCCCTCTCCTGCCCCAAACGCCCCGCGTCATCCACCCCATCACCTCCAGGACAATGTTCCTCCAACGTACAGCCTCCGCCCTCGCAAGGCGCTCGCCTGCCCGCGCTTTCACCCTCGCCCAGCGCCCCTTCTCTTCCTCCATTGTTCGCTGTACGTAACTCCTCAAATGGCATGATCCGACCTTCGCACAACTGCTCGAATACCCGCGCACCCCAACCACAAGGGATTATTTGCAGTCAATTGATTTGAATTATCTATTGTGATTACCGACTAACGCGAAACTCTTACAGCCAACGACAAGAAGTGGGCTCCCAAGCAGGAGGGCAAGATCCTGACCTTCGACGGTTAGTGCTTTACCCGACCCCATAGCAGTCAATTGCTTTCCTTCCAGCTTCTGTGGCTCGAGAAATATTCACCTAGTCCCCCGCTCGAGAATTTGCGTGCAATTGGACGCTATGGAACCTCGGGTGCTGGTCATGCGGATACTTTTCCCGAGCCACGGGCCCGGCTCGTCTTTCTACATCAAGTGGATATCTACAACAATATCTATAAAACCCAATACTAATCTATTTCTCTTGTCGGTATATAGAGATCAAGACCGAGGATGACCTCTTCGCTCCGGGTGCCAAGCCCGGTACCATTCCCTCCGATATCGAGCAGGCCACCGGTCTCGAGCGTCTGGAACTCATCGGAAAGATGCAGGGCATTGACATCTTCGACATGCGTCCCCTTGATGCTTCCCGCAAGGGTATGACTCCTTGACATCTTCCTCAACCTCTCATCGCAATTCCTGAATTACAAAATACGGCGGAATCGCATGATCGTTATTCTGTGACGAAACCCGAAACATTGGCTGACCAAATGGGTGGATTTATGCAGGCACAATCGAAGACCCCATCATCGTCAACGGCGCCGGTGATGAGCAGTACGCCGGTTGCACCGGTTTCCCCGTAGACTCCCACCAGGTCAACTGGTTGACTGTATGACCGCCCCATCCAAGCCCAAGGCCAATATCTCCAGCTCTTGAAACTGACTCTACACATTTAGGTCTCCCGCGAGCGCCCTCTCGAGCGCTGCCTCGAGTGCGGTAACGTGGTCAAGCTGAACTACGTCGGACCCGAGGAGGACCCCCACTCCCGTATGTTTCCCGCTCTCTCTTTCTTGCCTTAGTATATGATAATCTGTTGGTTATGCTAACGTTCTCGCGCTCAGACGACCACGACCACGGTCACCACCACCCCCCTCACGTCGAGCCCAAGACCTTCGCCGACTACGTCAAGCCCGACTACTGGTACCGTTAAATCTAATGGCGATTTTCTTTGCTTGTTGCTTGGAAGTCCCAATACAGTGTGAACATTATGCTGCGTGTCTGTCTCTGTTCTGTCTCCGTGGCTCCTCCGTCTCTTTTGTACTATAGTGCTCTAGTAGATGAAATGAGAGTGTTGGTGGGGTTCTTGATTTTGACCTATGATTGTCCGTTTGGGTTTGTAGTTACTATGAGATGAGTTCTCGTCGGGGGTCCTGTTGGTAGAACTTGTTTGATACTGGTGTTAGGAGTACTAGTATCGAATGGAAAGAGGAAAAAAAATCTATTTTTGAGTCTATCCATACATCACTTTTGATCCAATGTACATGTCTATATCCAGAAAAGTGCGGTAGTATAAGCGAAGCCTCAACACATCCCGGGAAGTAAATATGTACTGAGACGTGTAAAGTCTCGTCCAAGAAAGAAGCAGATCGAGTCATATACTTAGACATGACATCATATATCAGCCAATGCCTAACGACCCACGAAACGAAGTTCAATGAATCTGAGAGGAGGGTAAACAAGCGCGGTCCAACAGAACCCGACATAAATTCCCATCTAGCGAGTAATAAGTTAGTATCTCGAACAGACAAGATAGGAAGTGGGAATCAACTTACATCAGCACCGTATTCGCCGACCAATTTAGCAATGGGTCCGATGTACCACACCTGCGCCATACACAATACGGCGCCCACCCAGCCAACAACAAAGGCAGTGAAAGCCGCAATGCCAATGGGAAGCTTAGATGGATCCCGCCAGATGCCCCAGTTATATCCAGTACGGAGACGGAAGATGAACCGCTCCTCGAGGACGATGGCGATCCAGATGACAACCCAGTAGCCCATCAAAGCGAGGAAATTGGTGAAGATCTCAGAGAGGTTGCTGCGACCAACGAGCGCGCAGACGGTATAGATAATGACGGCAATGGTATTCCAGATGACGCGCGGTACTGCCTCGGCGTAGCGACCGAGGATCTGGAAGTCGATGCCGGCGGAGTAAGTGGGTGCAACGGTATTGGCGATCAGACCTAGGGCACAGATCACAGAGCAGAATTTGCCGAAGCCGTGCAACGGGCCGAATCCTTCGACGATTAGTGCTCCTTGGCCTTTCTCGTAGGCGGCAGCGTACTCTGGGTGTGTTGGAATGCCCGAGCCCAGGCCGACGCCAGAGACTAGGGCCATCGTGAAGGAGACGAGGAGACCTGCCAGGCTGAGGCTGAATAGTTTCACCCGAGAGGTGTTTTCGGGGTAGTAGACGAAGAAGTCGGCTGCTAGTGGGGCGTAGGTGACTGCGGCGCTCAGACAGATGGAGAAGAAGGATAGCCTGGTATTATGTTAGTAAACTTGGGCTTCAATTCTGATATCTGATATGCAAACTCACCTATTGCCAGCTAATGTCCGGGAATCGCCGGTAGAGGGGGTTGACAAGTCAAATTTCATGGATGACACCCCGAAAAGAATGCAAACCACAATTACTTGGGGCACAAAGGCGAATCTAATATGAGGCTTGTCAGTGACACTGTCCCTCGTTACAATTATCTCTCAAACTAACCGTTCATAGTAGTGGAAGACTTGGATGCCGAATGTGGCGACAGCCCAGCTAATAACCGCGATGATCACGATACCTATAATATCAAGATTAGTACCACTATTAATGTATAGAGTGCCCAAAGTACCTACCGACAGCTACGGACATGCCACCAGGGGAGACAGCAGACAAGATTTGTCCGCCAACGACGCAATCAATCAAGCCGTATCCAATCATCTGAACAAGGTTCAATAGAACAATGATCTTGCTAGGCCACCAGCCCATCGAATACCTTCCAAAAGCCTGGTCACCAATTAGCCCTCTCAATCAAATAATAGTCCGACAGATTCGATATGTGCTACGTACCAATGTCCGGATCCCGGAAACGGGCCCCCATGTGGCCATCCAAGAGGAGACGATGGAACCAACCAAGGCGCCAAAGACAGCACAAAGCGCCGAGTCCCGGAAGCTGAGACCATACACGGCAGGCCCTAGCATCCCGAGGGTAATGTTATTGGGCGCAAGGTTGATGGAGATCCAGAGCAAGAAGACTTGCAGGTACGACATCCACGTGTTGCGCTTCATGCGCTCATCAACAGCAACTCGTTCGATACCACGCGCTTCCAGGTTATACTCAATGAGCTGGTTCTCAAAAGCTCTAATAACGGAGCCTAAACGTGATCCGACGGGATTGCGGCGATTGGTCGTGGCCTCGGCGTAGAGTAGCTCATCCTTGTTAGCCACGCCGGGGGTTTCAGGCTTGGATGTCGTCCGGTCTTCCTTGTTGGAGTGCACCGCTAGGGCGGTGATTTCATTTTCTGAAGCCATGCTGCCATTGTGTCAGTATCACACCTAAATTCCTGACAAGAGAAAAAGCGCATTGAGTCCTTTCGCTGGAATTACCCAGATCAAGTTGAACCGTATGATCTCAGAACGACGATAGTCGAACACCGGTCTTCATGCAGGAGGCTTGTCCTAGATACCTTGATCGTGAGAGAATACCACACTACTCGTCTTCATGGTAGCCGTCCCTTGTAATGCACAGGTTGTGTTACCTTCCGATAAGAGTGACTATGAACACACAGTAACGTCAGCGGACTTAGTCAGGCAATCACACAGGCGCTGGGTTTAGGTTACCTTGAAATCAGAGGCTTTTCAAGTCCAAAACAAAGTAACAGTAGGTAAAAGGTAAGTAATTGATCCAATTGATGTGAAAAGCATTCAATTTCCCGTGGGGGGGGGCAAAAATGCGGGAAGATTTGATTGCCGCGGGGAAAAAAATAAGATTGTCCACTTTGGCTTTCCGCCTCCACCTTATCGGTGGACTACATTAGGATGTACGGAGTACTCCGAAGGTATTTACTACTTACAACACAATTGGGTTTCTCATTTCTGCTTATACAATTTCCTCATACTGGAACCAGTGGGAATCATATGGTATTGATGGTCACAAAAGCGCCAAAAAGAAAAAAAAAAACCAGCGCTTGTCATATCAAAACAACGCCTTAGGAAAAACATGATCGCAAAACAGGATGCGCAGGTGTTCATAGCGCATATCAAGAAATCATATAAAGGAAATCCAAGAATAATATTGAAAGGAGATCCAGATCACCAACTCCATCTGCCTTGTAAAATCAGTGACCTCCAGCGGCCACCGATGAAACTTGCATCGCTCTGGAATTGCAGGGAATCCGGAGGAGATAATGCCAAATTCATAAAAGATGCTAAGAAAAAAAAAATATCATCACTTCGTCAGAGGCGTCGTGGTGGTCAGACGTTCTTGAAATGCTCTTTGGCATACTGTTCGCAGGCCTATCGGAAAATATCGAAGATTAGATGACATGCATAATGACATGTAGGAGATTCCGATACTCACTTTGGCAGGCTTTCCCACTTTCTGACCGATCACCTTCCACTTATTCGCCTCGTACTCCTTGATCGCCTCGCGAAGCTTCACAGACTGTGCAACGTCAGAGGCGGATGCGACAACGGACATTAAAAAAAAATCGGGGTCATACCTCATCTTCGGCAAATTCCGCGTAGTGCATGTCCTGCGTAAGGTGTCAGTAAGACGAGACGTGGTATTACCAAATTCACTTGCTAATGCGTACCTTGTACCAATGCTTCTTGACACTGCCCTCGGTTCGGGTCGGGAAAGTCTGCGACAAGTAAAAAAAAAGACCCAGGTCAGCAACCCATAGCTTCAGCCTATAAAAAGCGGCGCGCGCGCACCTTGGCAATTTCACTCCAACTGCGCCCGGCGTCGCGCATTGTTTTAAGCCTTTGCTCCTCCTCTGCGGTCCATGGGGTGTTTGTGCGTCCCTTTTTCTTCGGTGTAGATTCGACCGTGGGAATTGCACCGGGGTCATCAATCACACCACCCGTAGGATTCCCTTGGGCTGCCATCATGGCTGACGATCCCGTGGGAGAAGGAGGACGTTTGCGCGAAGCGCCGAGGTTTTGTTGGGGTATAGGAGCAGTCGGAATCGGGATGCCTTCAAAGGTTGGGACGCGGTGAAATGGGTGGATCTGTTGTTGGGCAAGCATGTGCTGGGGGGCGCTGGTAGTTGCCGACGTCTTAAGGCGCTTAGATGTCGGGGGGGAACTAATGAGACAAAGAGTCAGAGAATAGAAGAGACATGCGATGAGCTGAGGCAATGTAATAAGAACGCGACCCAGTGCACTTGAGTTCCAGCCCAGTCTCCCTCCCACAGCTGGAGGCCGGACGGAGATCACAGACGAAGGGACTTACGACATGGTGAAAGACACACGCGGTTTTCAATCACACTGTGCCGATTCATCTGTACATACAAAAAGGCCGCGTAGGGGGGTTAGCAGGATCTGGTACTGGGGCGCCTTAGTCAACTCTCGGGAAGCGTTACACTAAAGACGATGACACAGGCGCATCCCAGGCAGAACCAGATTGACAAAGGTAACAGGGACAATAGGAAGGTATAGATTGCGACACAGAGCAGTCCAAAGTCCGACCGGAGTGTTTTTAACTCCTATGTAGGTGGGTGGGAAATCAAAGGGAAAGCTCACAGATCAAAATCGCATGGTCGAAGTGTCGATTCGGGGACCTCGAATTCTTCCGAATACGGGGAGAACATGAGGCTGGGAGGGTGATGGGTTGACTTTGGGAGGGAGGTAAGGTTGAGGAGAGGAACCCCCAAGGAAAAAAAGAAAAAAAATGGTAGAGACTTTAAAGACACCCAGGGAGAAAGAGAGTGTGAGTTAGAAAGAGAGAGAGAGACAAGGTTACAGAGAAAGAGAAAGGAGGAAGAGGAGAGAGGAAGTTGTGAGGAAAGGCAGAGAGCGGGGATGGAGTCACCTCATATCACAACAAAGTAATAATAGGGCAACTTGTAGATATTGTTTTTTTATATGGTTTATATAGCTTCTCATGGTTTTTTATATAATATAAAGTTTATATAGTTGATGATCTTGATGGTCTTGATGATGTTTAAA